CAACGCTCTCTACATGGGGCTCCCCTTGAGGTGCACCTGGAGGCTCCAGCTAGTTCAGAATGCGGCCGCGCGGGGGATCCTGGGGGCCTCTAGATACTCCCATGTAACACCTCTCCTGCGCGAGCTGCACTGGCTGCCTGTGGCCTTCCGGGTGCGCTTCAAGGTGTTAGTAACAACCTTTAAAGCGCTCCGTGGCAATAGACCTAGGTATTTGCAAGACCGCCTCCTACCAAACACCTCCCTTCGACCAGTCCGCTCCCACAGAGAGGGCCTTCTTAGAGTGCCGTCGGCCAGACAATGCCGGCTGGCGATCCCCAGGGGGAGAGCCTTCTCTGTGGCAGCTCCTGCCCTCTGGAATGACCTGCCCCCCGACCTACGTACAGTTGTGGACCTGCGCCTTTTTCGCCGAACCCTGAAGGCCCATCTATTCCGTGCGGCCGGCCTGGCGTAGTTTGATTATGTTTTAGTGGGGGTTTTGTATGGGGTACTTTTAGAGCAGGCCTGTTATTTAATTTGATTTTAGAACAGAAACTTGTATATATTTATCGTGGTTTTTATTATCGCCTGTTCACCGCCCTGAGTCCCGTAAGGGAGATAGGGCGGTATATAAATTCTAATAATAATAATAATAATAATAATAATAATAATAATAATAATAATAATAATAATAATAATTATAATAATAATAATAATATCCAGTGCAGGTAATCTCCATTTTTCGACTATAATAGTGCCTAGAATTACGGTCATAAGTCATTATGTCATACGATTATTAAGTGGATCATCATGTGCCCAATCTGATTTTATGACATTTTTTTTTTGCAGTGGTGGTTAGGCAAACATAGCAGTTATAAAGTGAATAGCATGGTCATTAAACAAATGTCACAGGTATTATGCGAACCCATTGTTTGCAATGGCATTTTTTACCAGAAACCAGAAGTAAACATCGGTTTCTGGGGGAAAAACCCCATAGTAAATCATGGTTATAGGACCACAGAACACGGCAAATGGCTGTAAATGAGTGATAATTGTCAAGCACACAAAATGCAATCACGTGATCCTGGAGGGAGGGTGCCAGAACTTCAAATCTGGGTCAGAAGTACCATTTGGGGGAGTCTGTCATAATTTCAAATGATCATTAAACAATTGGTTGTAAGTTGAGCACTATCTGTAACTGCATTGTTATCAATGTCTATATTTTTAGGGAAGGTTGTTGAGGGTCTGCTTGATGCTTAGCTACAGACAGCCCTAACGCTTTTCAATCTAGGATCAAGCCAAGGTACAGTATTGAGATGGCATTGGTCACAGGAGCAGATGACTTCTGGAGGGCTCAAGATGGGGCTTGTGCAACCATCCTGGGCCTCCTGGATTTCTCAGCGGCTTTCGATACAATTGACTACAGTACCCTTCTTAGCTGGCTTTGAGACTAGGAGTGGGAGGCACTGTTTTGCACTGTTTTTCCATGTTTCAGTGTGGATTGATAGGACAAGCCTTAGGCCCTTCTCCAATGCAGGGTGCCTCAGCACTCAAATCTTTTCCTTCTCTTCTTTAATATCTAAATGAAAACATTCGCTGGCCTGAGATATAGCATTATCACTGCATTACACTGATGATATTCAGTTATACATCTCCATCCCTGTCCAGGTGATGCTACTGTAATGCTGAACAAGTGACCGGAGGTTATGAGGATCTGTATGATGTCAGCCTTCCTGGGTAAACCAGACAGGAAACATGACCAGATGAGCTCCTGTAAATCCAGCTTATTATTAGGCTACAGTAACAGAATCTTGCAAATCTAAAGATACAAACTTCCTGCTGCCACTTTTAACTATCTGATCAATTAGGGAGGACCCTTCCTATGATCCTTTCTCTGACCATTAAGCCCTTGAGGGCTCCCCCTCCGTTTTCCTGATTGTTTCTTAGGCAGCATGTCCCCCAAGGCCTTCCACACATTCCATTACGGTTAGGAAGGAACAATTTCGAGTCAGTACTGAAAAGAAGAAGTCATTCTAACTCAGGCATGTCAAACTGCCGGCCCGTGGGCCAGATGCGTCACGCCAAAACCGCACCCACCCCATTGTCGGCAACAGGGAAAAAGTCCCAATACGTCACGCAATGTCACGTGATGTCACGAGTTTGACATGCCTGTTCTAATTCTTCTGCTCCCTAGAGTTTGGCAATATGTCATCTCTGACTCTGAATAGGGTGGCACTCCCATGGACAGAACTGGTACCCAATCTGGATCCTTCTGAACTCACTGCTCCTGCTTAATTAACAGGTGGCAGTTAGGAGGTCTGTTGTACAATTTCAATTTGTGAGCCAATTGTATCTTTTTCTAGACACATTTGATATTTTTGCATCAAAAAAAATCACAAACCAAGCAGATTTATACTACACTCATGCCAAAAGAAACAATATTGACTATTTGCCACCAAATTATTAAAGTCAAAAGAGATGGCAGAGTCTAACCAACTTCACAAATAATCCTCCCATAGTTAAAAAGGATCAGATCTTATTACTGAAATAAAAATTTCAATAATAATAATATCACAATAGAAGTCTAGAATTTAACTAGATAAGCCTATTTCTGTTGGATTATATATAGCAATATCAGATTAGCAATTAAATTTCAATGCCAGAATTTCAGCAAAGAAACTAATACAAAAACAAAAAAGGTACACTGTAGCCATTCAACATTATCCATCAAAGCCCTGAGTAAGGGGGCATCATTCCACTTGAGGCTGATGAGCAATTTGGGGTTTTTATGGACACGTCTCCTACTTAAGGACCAGGTGGCAGTTGTGGCCAAGAACATCAATTGTGTCTTTTCCGGGATAGGAGACCTTCCAGTCTGTC